AGAAGTAAGTACATGATGGACAGACAGGTTCTTTATAGATAATAGAAGATAAACTAACGAAGTACGCACAGCTCGAAACTCAACTGGAAGAGCATGAAAGCGAGAAAAACAAGTCGCAACGGTCAGTGCGCAATGTTGACCGTACGGTCAAAGATCTCCAGACACAGATCGAGCGCAAGGACAAGCAAAATACGCAGTTGTCGGACGACGTATCCCGAATGCGTGACAAGGTGGAGAAGCTGCTGAAGACGATTGATGAGCTCCAGTCTTCGGAGTCAACTAACCAGCTCTCTGCCCGCCGTGCTGAGCGCGAGCTTCGAGAGGAGAAGGAGAAGACTTTACGGCTTGAAAGAGAACTTGAGGGATGGAAGGGTCTCCGGGTCGAGAGGACATCAACCGGGGCTGTTGGGAGTGTACGAAGTCGAATGGGTACTTGGCGAATGAGTGAAGGTAACGATGCATCACAAGTCGATATTCCAACGAGGAAGAGCAGCGTTAGCAGAGCGCCAAGTCAGAAAGGATTTCTGTGATGGGTTTAGGGATTACCTTGCTTAGGTAGTTGGCATGGGATGGGACGGCGTTTGTGTGTGGTGTTTGTACGAGATACCATAAGTATGAGTGCATAGCGGATGGATGGGACTGTACATGTGTTATTGGTAATGATTATCAGGGTGTCGTTCAGATGATTTGGCATTACATAGAGATAGGGGGATCAGGAGCTCGATTCAATTCGACGTGATCTTAATTCCGACATATAATTTCCTGCACATGTTCCAGAGATATTCATCAAGTCGAACATTTATGAAGTCATTGATTTAGATGCTTTTTATTTTAAAATGCAGCTCCTCTTCAAACAAACGCCCGGCCGGTATAAATATCAGAGGCCCTTGGAACGATAGCCCATGCGACTGTTCCAACTTGACCACCAACAACAATAGCATATTGATCATACATACACGACAAGGTTAAAAAATCATTCTACAGAGTCGTAATGTCTCAGTCACATCTTTGTGATTGGACCAAAAGGAAAACCAGCAAAAAGAAGGGTCTGGCCGGGGATTGAACCCGGGACCTCTCGCAAGACTGTTTAGGGTTTGCCCTAAGCGAGAATCATACCGCTAGACCACCAGACCGTGTACGCTAGGTAGCTTGTAGTCCGAGGACCACTTTTCATGGAATCAGATCGACTTATTTTGATATATATACCCCCAACATTATCAAACCAACCGCCCACCTGGCCTCGTTTCCTTTAACTTGACATTTTTAAAGGCTATTCCTAGGCGCGGTGTTTATGGACTCTTTCAACTATCCCATTCTACAGAGTAGTGTCTCAGTATAGCTTGCGCCATAGGCTGCTTCTGTTGCGGCGGTCCTGTTGTACGGTAGGTAAGTACCCTATATCTTTCCTTGCCGTCTCTCCTCCCCACCTCTTTATCTCTTGTATGGTATTAATACTAAAGGTATATCACTTGTAGTTAGAAGTCTAAAAACGCGAGAAGGGAGATTAACTAAATTAAGAGCACTATAGATAGAAACAATAATCAAGATTGGAATGTAGTACACGAAGCAACTGCGTGGGAAAATCAGCGAAGATCAACCTATCCTCGCGCGACAATTGAGCATCATACCCGCAGTAATTGCTGCTTATATTAATATATGGAATAGAAAGGAATTCTAGATGTGACGCAGTCCCTCTAGCCATGTGTCTCAATCAGCATTTTACATATATACTCCGACAGTTACAGTCAATACATTGAAACATCACCACACCTCTTCCGGTCATTTTATCATGTTCAAGCCCCGCGAGGCAAGCAAGGAATGCGCAGAAGCAGATTGTAAGAATGAAAATTGCCAGGTACGTATCAGAGAGGAATCAGAAACCAGAAACCGGACGCCTTAGAGTTTGCCCTGAGCCCTGCTCCCTCATCATACCAGGACATTACCATACCACAGACCACATCTCTCCTACACTACCACCTCGCAAAATTTTACGCTCGCCGAATTGTGTATCTACTCACAGAACGAGATGGTGAGGGGCAAGGGGAGAGAGAGCCAAGAATAAACTAGCTGGGAGAGTTTGAAGAGTTATACTGAAAGGAATTTGGCCACCCTTTGCAGAGGTTGGATACTAAATTTCAGGTGAGGCTTTCTTGAATCTATAATCAAACATGCCTCGACGGATTTGAGCCCGGCCAGAGACCCAGAGCGAAGTCCCGGAACCTCTAATGAATGAAGGTTGATGACATGCAATTTTGGAGCTGGAACTACCATACATTCGCGTTCTTGTTGTTAGTGAGCTCTCGACCTTGTCAAGATGAAACCCTATGAGCACGCTGCCCTTGTAGCTGAAGCCTTCAACGGGAACTTGGGTAAGCTATAAAGATTCCGCCAGAGGCGTCATACCTAGAGGTTGGGTGATCGCCCGCTGATCTGTAAAATATGTAATGAGGCCAGTTCTGGGGGAAAAGTTCGTTTGTAAGTAAGTTGTGAGGACAATGTCATCTCTAGACATGCGACACATCCTAGCCATGAGACCGCCAAGCGATTCAACCTGAAGATTCGTAACACTTGTCTACTCTACTCTTAAACTTTCCTCCTATCCAAAGTATATTGCCTGTGGCGTCGCATAGGCGATTGATGGCGGGGAGATTTCTGTCGTAAGAGAGCTCTTCGCATTGGGGTCATGGTCGTACCAACAAGCACATAACAAGCTGGTTGGGGACTTGGTAGCGACTGACCTACCGTACTCCTTGCCAGCGTGTTTCTTGTCCGTTCTTATGCTTTCTGCGAGACTCCACCCCGGTCTCTTCCTCTTACTCTTCGTCGTAAGAAATATACATCCTATCGCCATATGTGTAACTCGTGTGGAGGACTCCATTGACGCGGAATCTCACTCTAGTCCCCAATCGAGTTTCGGCCTCCTTGTCAGCCTCAAGATCAGCCAAACGAATATTTCACCCTGTTTGTAGACAGAAACTTGAGACATAGTTGGGGTTTGTTCCTCGTATGCTTATTGTTGGGTATCCAAACCGGCAAAAGCTTGTGTTAGGCTTGGTTTTCCATAGGTCGCGAGCGCATGCTCCAAAATCGGCGTGAGATTTGCCCTGAACATCACGACATGCCTTCGCAGTCTACTTCTGTGAAAAGAGCGCAATGATTGAGGGTGGAAAGTAGTCTATGAACGGAAGTAAAGAAGCCGCTCGATCAGTCCTTTTATGTAGACTTTTCTTCTGTCGGACTGCTCTATGGATGGTCTTAAACTCTTGACATCGGACGCATGTGACTAACCTATTACTTCTCGGGTGGCCTATAGTTTGTTTCACGTTCTAAATAGAAGGCTGTGGCTCTCATGTCTAAAAAATCTTACTGGATGCCTTTGTTTTGATGCAGCAAAGCCCAGTCCACGCGCATGCGGCCAGCAGACAAACGCTTTCTGGTAGAAGTAAACGCGGCAATTTATTGGATTAAATGCTAAAAATTCATACCTGTAGACACTAAGACTAGCATTTTAATTCCTTTATTACACGAAACATTTTCGTGGTTGAGATGAAACGTAGGATGGTCAAATTTTGCTTTGAAACAAGAATTTACCTAGAAGACAAAATCGAAAACTGGAGAAGCCCATGTATTTTCTAGATCCCGAATCTTCTTCCCCAATACTGTAATTTTTCTTCTTCAAGCTCACAGCATAATTATTACTTGATCCTCACACTGAGATGGGTTGGGCCGCGGGTTCCTATGACGGCGTTGGCCCAAAAACAACCTTCACGGCATGCTGGCCTACCCCGAGCATATTTCTTCCTTGTTTTGGGCAACTTGAACAAAGTCTATAGGCATATATAGCATTGCGATAATTTGTTGGTACATATTTCGACTTTCATTTAGTAATTACATACAGTCTCCCATCCTTAATTGCTTGATCCACGACCACCCTGGCCGACGTTGTCGCCCTTGGCGAGACCTTGGCTCTGTCCGCCGCTGGCATTGGCGTCATGCAGTCCCTGGCCATGCTCAGCCTCGGGAAGAGGAGCTGTCTTGTCGGCACGGGCGACCTTGTCACCAATGTTTTTGTTCTGATGAGAGTTGAGTTAGCTTGATGACATGACTCTAATGGGAGCCCAATTCCAAGAATCAGGAAAACGTACACCAGAGCCGTGAGCAAGATTATGATCGGTACCCTTAATAGGGCCGTTGTCAGAAGAGCCGTCTCCGTGGCGAGGCATGATGCTTAGAATGGGATGGTTGGTGATGTTGGAAAGCAGTGTCTAATGTGAGCGTGGAGCTTAGTGGACTGAACCGCGTCAAAGAATACTGATGATTGAAGGTAAGTTTTTCACCTGTTTGGAAGAGAGAGCACAGTGGTTTTTGTACTCATTGAGCTGCTAAAATATTTAACTCGAAAGGCTGAATACTCGTCGACGTCATAGTTTCGTTAAACGTCATGATGCCATCGCGATCGATCAACGTGGGGCTTGCTCCAGGATTAACAAACTTGTACCTGATGGAGGCGGCTTCATTCATGCGCCGGCTCCATTATCACTTACGTAGCTGTTCCTGGAGCATTCTCGGCAGCATGGCTCACTAGTGGTCTCTCCGGTTCTCGTGCCTCATCATGGTCTAACGATTGTGCCTCGGTAGCTGATAGAGATGACAAGTACTTTGATTATAGGCTTTCAGACGCCAGCTACCTAACTAAGAAACACCACATTGCAGACTGCTTGACCAAGTTGGGCAAACCATATCATTCGAACCGCTCGCATCGAGAACATTCCATGACCTCAAAATTGTTATACATTGAGGAAACCCCCCCAATCATCTTTAGCTCCGCGACCACAATCTGGACCTGTCATTGATTGTCGTTCTCCTGGCGCAGTGCTTGCGGCAGCTTCGAGTAAAACTCATGAACAAGAATTGAGACTTCAAGTTGAGGAACCCATATGCCCAAAGGCATGGATACGACCATAGGCACGTAGCCAAATAGGGGCCGAGTACTTCAGGCCTTACTGCTTACGGGGCCGAGTGCGCCGTCCCTTAGTTGGCTCTGGCTCAGCAGCAGCAGCCACAGACGCGCGCTTGCCCCTGCCTCTAGCCTTTGGTGCTGGCTTTTCTTCCTCCTCCTCCTCAGCTTCCTCAGCCTCGGGGGATTCTTCCTTGGCTGCAGCCTTCTGAGACTTCTTGGGAGTAGGCTTGGCTGCGGCCTTGGCCTTCGTGGCTCTGCCCTTCTTCTGGGGAGCAGGTTCGTCTTCCGCCTCCTCCTCCTCCTCAGCTTCCTCAGTCTCGGGAGATTCTTCCTTGGCTGCAACCTTCTGAGACTTCTTGGGAGTAGGCTTGGCTGCGGCTTTGGCCTTCGTGGCTCTGCCCTTCTTCTGGGGAGCAGGCTCGTCCTCAACCTCGTCCTCAGTTTCATCCTCGGCTTTGGAAACAGCCTTGGAAGCCCGAGACTTCTTGGGAGCGGCTTTGCCACCAGCAGCCTTGGATGGCTCTGACTTCTTAGACTTCTTAGGGGCTGGCTCTTCGTCCTCCTCGTCATCAGCCTTCTTGCGACCACGCTTCTGCTTCGCGGCCTTGGGCTTTTCCTCCTCCTCGTCCTACCATAATGTGTAAGCAGCGTTGTGCTGATGGATGGAGATGGCCAACGTCACGGGACTTACCTCTTCAGCCTCCTTCTCCTTAAGAGCCTTCTCCTTTTGCTTCGCCGTGAGATGGATTCCCTTCTCGCCTGGCTTGCATTTCTCGGGGTCCTAGAAGGAAAGCTATTAGCATGCTGGGCGCGCATCGCAGTGTGAAAGAGCGATATACCCCGTTGAAGTCCTTAATATCAACATGACCCTGTTCCACGGCTTGCCTTATCTTTGCCTGTGCTTCAGGGTTGTCGCTATAGAGGATGTTAGGCAATCTGGTATCAAACACATTGGGGCTGGGGGAAAACTTGGGGCATACTCGATCTCATCGTAGCCATCAATGGCGCTGAAGTCATAGGATCCGTCATCAGTTAGGCACACTTCCTGGAACCCCCCGACTTGGAATCCAGACAAGCAACCCCTGCGAGTGTTTAACCAAGTTAGAAATCGTGATCCTGATCCTCAGGGTGGATGTTTCGAGGATGTTTCTCACCAGTGCTTCCAGGACCAGCTTCCGTGCTCATTGATCTCGACCCAGGTGCCGACACGAATCTCGCCCTTCGTGATCTTGACCTTTTCTTTCTTGCAAACTGTGTCCTTGCAGACAGCCCGGTTGTTGGGCGACACCTCTGTCGGGATGTCAGCCACCTGATTAATTGGATGAAAGGGCCCGCGAGGAAATGGGATGGAGGAAGAAAGACGTGTAACTAATGATCTTACCAATTCTGTACTGAGGCATCTTGACGGATTTTTGGTTTTCACAAGAGTTGTGAGGGAACGACGTGTCGCTTGGTTTTTTTCAGGATTGCGACAGATGCGCTGTAGGCCTTTGTTTTTTCTGTTAGTGCTCGCTCCCAGTGGAAATCACACCTAGCGACGCGTGGGGAGGGAAGAAACAAGCAGTCGCGTCACACCAGAATCCTGGGAAGAAACAATGCAGACGGGAGAAAAGAAGGCGGCAGCTCACAGGCAGATGAAATTGACCAGCGCGATATGAAGGGTGCTGTGTGGTGGTGGGAAAGAAGGAAATTTGAGGGAACGGGTGCTGCTCAAATGGTGCGAGGCACGCACCTTCCCTTCTACCCCCCAGCACACGTGTGTTCCAATGCAGCGCGCGTTCCATCGCTTCGCCTCAGGCTGCCATCTCACCACGCCGTCACATCACATCCATCACATCACAACACAACACACCCTCTGCCGCTCACCCGGTTCTCACTCTCAATCGCAGATGGATGGCTATTCTTGTTGAAATTTATTGTTTCAATTGAATCCGATAACAATAATAAAATCTCCCTTCCTGCACCAAGTTCGCCATATACATTCTATTCTGCATTGCCTGATCACCCAATCACACCCAACCTAAACGCCGTTCCCGTATGCACCCAATAATGATGAGATGTTCACATCCTGGGACCCCTTGATGCAATTTTTATAGGAATGGACACCAGCCAATGTACATAGAAGTCAAGTTTCGAGGGTCCACGGCTTGTTTGATAAGCTCCTCTACTTGACCTTCGACGCTGAGGGGGATGCTTTCGTTGGGCAGCAAGCCCTTCACCTTCCTCTTGATGCTATCCACTACGCTCTGTGGCTGTAGCTTGATGCCTCCTTGGTCACCCTTTCTTGCAGTCCGTTTGTCTTTTTGGAGATCTAGGGTTGGGTCGTAAATGAAAGATTCAAGAACAGTCATCAGCGTCTCCTCCTGCTGCCGCAGAATACTGAGTGTCAGCTCTGAAGACTTCCTGAACGGACCTTCGTATCCGTAAATGCCCATTGCTGTCACCATGTTGTGTGTCAACCGGAAGGGGACACGCTCTGGCTTTGCAAAAGTCAGGCCCTTGTCGAACAGGCAGTTGAAGTCAACGTGAAAGATACCGCCATTGCCCTCTTCCAGATTGACATTTTCGCCATGCCGATCGCCCAAGCCAAGAATCGTCCCAACCATCGACATGACTGCACATGAGCGAGTATATCTCAGCCGCGCATCGAACCAAGCTGATGGGTTTGGAAACTGTTGAATGAACCAAAGATGAAGAACTGGGGGGAAGCGGCCCACCACTTCGTCTATATACCTCCGGATTTTGGACTCAGACGTCGACGCTTCTTCCATCACCTGTTTCAAAGACATATAGTCAGGATATATTTTCCTGATGGAATACAGATTTAAGAGGATATCGCGCATTGTTTTGAGACCCGGAACCCATTCAATGATACCACACTCCTCATTCAGTGGCACAACGGCATACGTTCGGATGTAGAGCTGCCTCTTACTGGACTCAGCGTCACGTTTGAGTGATCTGTTGATCATCCCGTTGAACTCCATAAGGCGTTGATCTGTGCGAAGATCATCCTTTGGCTTAATAAGAAGCATATAGTTCTTACCATCAGAGCCACGGGCAGTCAGTCGTCTCGGCTTGGCTAGCGAGCTGAGAACCAAAACATCATCTTGGAATGAGTCAATCGTAACGACATCTCTAGAAAATGCCTGGTGTCTCTTCACAAATTCCGAGACTGCTGGCAAGGTACACGTGAGGGAGCTCTCCACGGGCACGACGAGCGGGCACGGCGTGCATTTAGCGTTGAAGCGAAGGTCTCGCGTTAAGCTAGCACGAACCGTCTTGTTGCCGTGGAAATCCCCGTTCTGGCATGCGAGAAGAAGTTGCTCAGCCAGCCTCTCCCCCATCCGAAGAAGGGATTTGAGATCGTAATTCGACCCTTCGACTTTCTTAGAACCATTTCTTAGGGCTTGAAGAATCTGTGTAGCTCTTGCTTTTCTTTCCGACACCTGCCTCGATGTCATGACCCCGATGAGCCCCCATAGGGCTTGCCGTGGATGTGCCTCCACGACTTTGACAATGATATGTGTCAAGCGGTCAAAAACGCTTGGGTTAGGGTGTGCGATACGAGCGACTACTTGTGGTAGCGCCGTGTAGAATATATAAGCGGGTAGTCTCTGGATATACTTGTCGAGGAATTGGTGAAGGTTGTTCAATTGTTCAACCCGCCTCTTCTGTAATTCACGAGACACGGAGGCCTTGCCCTCAGGAGGCCTGTCCACATCGGCGCCGATATCTAGCCACAAGGTCAAGATCCTTGGAAGCGTCTGATACAGAAACTTTGTCCCATAGTTGAGGGATCTCATGTAATTCTCGATAACCAGCCTTGCAATTTCGCCTGTGACAACATAGTCACTTTGGTCATCGGCCTTGAGTGATTTCTCGGATTCCAAAACTTTTTTGTAGTGTCTTCCAAGATAGTAATGCCCCTTCTCCCAAGTTGAGCATGTCTTTGCTGGCTGCTGATACTTCTCCCGCAGAGCTGTGGCATTGGTTTGCCCTGCGGCATCTAGCCATTTAGCAAGTAGGAGCTGTGCACGAGCAGTGAGCAGCTTTTCTTGACCATTTTCCTTGATACTTGCTTCAGTTCCGGTTGTGGTAGTAGGTCCTGTTTGCGTCATGAACTTTTTCTGCTCAATAGCGCCCTGGAGCAGCTGAATTGCCTTGCGGTGATGCCCATCTCTCCACAGAAGCTTGGCGTTCTCAAGCGTTGCACCGTTATCCCCTAAGCGCGAGGCATGCAATACTGCGTTAAACGACTGGTTGACTAGGTTTGTTTTCCGAGCCAGGCGCGCGCTGGAGAGCCATAGACCAGAAATATCTGTAGTGGCAAATTTGGGCCTTTAGACAGTCAGTTATTAAACTCCTGCGAAAAGCGATGCAACACTTGACTTACTTAGTTAGCATCATTGCAGCCCTGCGGACCCCAAGAAGATATTGCTTGTCGTTAGAATAAGCCCCTATCATGTTCAGACGGTTATCGAGAAGTGATAAGAGCTTGCGATGTTCTGGTTCACTTTGATTTCCCGCGGTAATTATCATCTCTATGTCTGTCAATACATGGCTCCGAAGTAACTGCTCATGCGCTGTGCGAAGCGATGTCGTTGCAGACGCATTCAGGGATGAAGAGACGCTTTCACGAATCTCGCGTAAAATTTCAGTATAGTGCTCTGTGCCCCGTCCTGCGTGAAGAGAGTCAAAGAGATAGGCAATTGACATATTAAAGTCGTGTAACTTGCTGCCTTGGAACCGATTTGTGAACTTGTCTAGGCTTTCCCAACGACCAGTGACCCATGCAGCTTCCACGGCGAAGGGCATAATGCGGTTATCGCTGGAGCTATTTGCACGAATACCTTCCACATGATTCAGGAGATTATCTAAAACTTGTCAGTTGATGCTTCTTCGAGAATCGCGAAAGGGATACTTACCGTGCTGGCCTGCTTGTTTCAGGCAGTTGAGGAGCTCTAGTTGAACATCGCTGTTGTCAGGTTCCTCTACCAGCTGCATCTCGTACCATGTTTGTGCAGCGCCCCAGCGCCCAGCCTTCTTGTGGCCCAGTATTTGCTGATTGAGATCGAGCGCAGGAAGATGGGCCGAGATGCCGTCCAGGCCATCAGGTTCATCAATATTCGCATATATGTCCTGAAGCTGCTCGAGAAGGCGAACTCTCTCCCCAGGCTCAGACTTCTTCTGCTCCACATTCTGAGCATGCTGTTCGAGGTGGAAAAGGGCACGCGCATACTCATTGCACTGAATCGCACGCTGTGCTATGAGCTGCGCAGGGATCAAATCCAGAGCACGTTGAACCCGTGTTAGGCTCTCCTTGTCCAGAGTCGTCAATTTAGGCACTGATCGCTTGTTTTGAACCCAACGCATGAGATAGTCTAGAACCCGGAAGACAGACTAAGAAATCGTCAGCAACAATCGCTTGATAATGAAGAACTCGACTTACATAGTAAAACCGTTTCATGTCTTCCTTTACCACCAACGGCGAGCTGTCCTCAGCTTCATACTCCAGAATCAACTTCAATTCTTCAAGAACAGAGTTCTTGACTGATGTGCCACTGTTTTCTCCGATGATCACATGTGCAACAAGGTATGGAAGAAGGAACTCTGCGGTTGATAGATCCTTGACCCGAATAACTCGAGAGAGCGGTTCAAAGAGCATGTCTGCATGGGGATTTTGTCCCATCTGAAGAAGTCCCAGAACGAATGTCCTCAGCCAAGTGGCATAGGGCTTACCTGGACGAAAGACTGGATAAGCAGTTGCAGTTGGGGCCATTGGCGCTACAATGTATTTCGATCGCAGGAAGGGCTCAAGAACCTCTCGCACATTCTCAGGGATCGCCATCCACTTGCGATAGATCTCGTTTCCGGAGAGCACACCCGTATCCTGCATGCTACATACGGTTTTGATATCACACCTTTCCAAGAGTTCCTGCATTGCGTATGATAAGAATCCTTGGATCTTGGTATCGGTTGCCGAGAGAAATGCGGGAACGAGCACTTCTTCTAGGATAAACAGACCGAAATCAGACACTTCTTCAGGCTTTTCAAAGTTGTCTAAAATGACAATAGAACGGTGCTCTCTGGCAGCTTCAACCTGGTTGGAATCTACACAGCCAACCAAGCCAATGCACTCTACCACTAATCGAGATATCTCGACGTGAAGTCCGTTGTACTTGTACGCACAATCGAGAAGTGCTCGAAGCAAGCTAGGGATGATAGATCCAGGTTGCTGGGAAGTTGTCGAGGTCACAAGTGCTACATCATCTTGCTTCAAATATGTGGCTAGCTCGACAAGTGCTTGCTGGACGACCCCCGAGTTATCGTTGCCAATCCTCTGAGAATAAGCCTCAAGGGCGGTCTCGGGGGTTAGGACCGGTCGAAGTTTCTCAAGTTTTGCCTCGATAGGTTCCAGTCCTGGTAGTCCTGAGAGTGGAGGTAACTTGTTGATATAGCTCATTCTAATAACCGCCTTGTATTTTTCAAGCAAAAAATTAAGCATGTCTTTCACAATTAGGACTGCTGCTTGGCCTAGGAGTGCCCAATACCGACGAGTTATGAAGAAGGTTGTTTCCAATAGGGCTTCAACATCTTCTGTGTCTAGGTTGTAAAGCATGGAGGCCCAAGCGGTAAAGGCTGCTTCACGTAAACCTTCCTCGGTCAAAGCAGACAGAAGACATGCAGAAATCTGTGGCCGAGCAATCCGGGCATACCCCTTGCAAAATTTGATCATTTCATCTAGAGCTCGGATGTATCGTCGTTGCTCTATAATAGGAACGTTATTAGAAAAGGGGTCGCTTATCATGTTCGCAAATTGTGCTATGAGGCCCAACAGGTAGTCCTGTAGAAAAAGCCCAATGATGTTCGCTTTCTTGCTTCGTGCCTCCTTGTTTCCGGCCAGCATGATAGAAGCCATCGTTTGAAAACCTCTTTGAACTAGGGGTTTTCGAGAAGGGTCAGCGTCTCCTGCTGCCTTGAGAAACTCCATAGCAAGCAATACAGGATCTGAACGGATAAGTTCCACAAGGGAAGTGTGGTGCAACTTGGGTGCAATTTCAGCTATTCGGGAGTTGGCAAAAGCCGTGACATCCTCAACTTCTTGCACAAGAAGCAAAGTAATAATCGGGGCCAAATTGTTCATTATTACGTGTTCAGGGTCTGATTCCTGGCGAGCATCAGCCAATTTTTGAATAACGTCTTGTCTTTTCTCAAGCACGAGCCACGGCAGTGCGTGGGCCTGAATCAGTAGCAAGAGCTCACTGATAGACATTTGCAGAAGCTCGGCTACTGCTCGGCTGCGTTGAGGCCGGTGAACCATGTCTTTAGTTGTTAGATAGGCCAGATTTCTCCAATATGGGTCAAGAAGTCTCCGAGGTGTCGTTCCGCGACTTTCTGCAAGTATCATGAGTTCATTGAAGGCAAACGCAGATACAACATTATTGCTGTTGCCCAGATATTCAAGTAACTGGATCAAAACAAGATTCAGTTCTTCCTCGTCTCCTACCCTGCCTAGTTGGCCCCAGGCAAGAATACAGGTTTCGATCAACTGTGACTGATGCTTTTCAGAAAGCGACTTTAATAATGAGATAGTGTTTTGTCTGTTCTTCCGAATCAACTCGTTGAGAGATGAAATTTTCGTGGGAAGCTTATTGACTATTAAAAAGGCGACCAGTGTTCTTCCTGCGGCAATTCGCAACTCTCGTAAAGAGCTATTAAGCGACTTAAGACACCATTGGCCAGAGCCAGACCTTTCAAGATTTAGGAAATTCAGATCATTTGAGTGAAGCGCGAGTCGTCTCAGGGCCATCATCGCTATGATTCTTGGCCTCCGGGACTGCGAGAGCGAATCCAACTGGATAATGCTGCTAAAAATCCTCTGGATATCATCCTTTCTCACATTTGGAGGTACCTGTTGACGTTCATAGTTCTTGATCTCACAGACTGAACATTGTACAGTGAGAGTTCCCGGTTTGGCCACAAAAAACGAGGCAGCGCCGTCAAGAACGCAACAGCATTTTGACAATGCATCGAGGATTTGGCATTGATTGGATTCACTGGATTCGGGAAATCGTTTTATGATTACTCCCTCCAAACCCGATATGTCATCCTCAGGCTCTTTCAGCTCAAGAGCCGCACATAGTATGCGAAGGACGTTTGTCCAAGATTCAGAAGCCTGATGTCTTAGCTTTGGCTTTTTAGCAGTGTTTAGCTGTCGACAGGATGCATATGGGAATTGCAGTCTCTTGATATACGATTGTAGGCGCGGATTCTGAAAGCTTGAAGGTGAGACATTCTCATCTAAACCTTGGGATGGGTTAAGTGCAATAGCTTGTGTCAAAAGTTGCGAGGCCCTCTGGATCTCTGTTAGCATTTATACCTGGTTTCGATCAATATTTAAACACCTACCCAATTATCAGAGTTCACTTCGAAAATGGCTTCACGAGTGAACTCAATGACCAGCTTTGACTCGGCAAATCGGCCGACAGCTCTATTTTCAATTGAAGCCCGTGCCAAAGTCACGAGAGCCTTGCAGAAGCTTAGTCTAGCATCGTCACCAGATTGGTCGACCATAACCAAGTCTTTTGGGTTCATCACCAGCTCTGAGCAGATGAGAACAAGAAAGACGTAGAGCTTGTTTAGAAGAAATGATGCCGATTGCTCATCGTGGTCTATACGATGCATGATCTCGAGCGCTAACTCTAGGAGAGAAATTGTCTTCTTGGGAAAGGCTATGTCCCATCGTTTTTGAACCGTGTGCATGTCTAGCAGAATATCCAGAAGCCATGGACCGTTTTCCGGAAGTGGAGCAATGAATGTAAACGTTGGGTCATGGGACAGAAACGGGAACGCTAGAACCCTGACTAGACTTGAGGTCTGGCGCAGGGCTTGGGAAGTTTTGCTTATTGTATACTGAACACCGTGGGTCGTTCGTAACCAGTCGGGGCCCAGCATCTGCTCTAGTGTCACATTTGATGGCAGACGCATATCGACGGAGGGGTCTTCGCGGGGCGAGGGTACAGAGGATTTTTGGAGTCGGGAGAGCAACGCTACAATTATTAGTCAAGTCGCATTATTTATCAATTTGTTGCCAAACGTACTGCTTAAGATTGAGCGAAGGTAGGAACTCATCGAAGATGCTAATTCCCACAATGCTCCGGTTCGTGCCATCACTACAAGCAGATACTGAATAAAGCCTTCGATGGACTCCTCTATTTCAAGACATTGTGAATGGCCAAGCATCTTCAGCAACTGAGGCAAGAGCCAAATCCACAGAGGCTCTTTGCCACGATATAGGAATGCAGACCGGCCTGTCCCTTGCTTCAGTACCAATGGGGTTTCCTTAATGGTGAATCTCATAAAATTTATGGCTTTCAAGACCTCGGTCCGCATATGGGCACGATCGAGGAAGGGGTCGTCGAGCTTTATATTTTCGAGGATGATGCGAGAATACACATATATCAGCATGTGGTTATGCTCAATCCGTTCGTCTACTGTCTTGAGTAGGCTAGGGTCGTCTTTGACTTTCTGGATCTCAGCAAAGAGGCCTTTGAGTTCGCTATTCTCGTCGGACCGGGATGACTTGGCGGACGGGGAGATGTTTTCGACTAGCTGAGCAGCGAGAGTGGACGGTGGCGGGCCATCGTTAAGACTGGTATTTCCAGCGCCATATGCGCCAGTAACAGAGAAACCGACCTTTCCATAGGACCTGTCCGCCATGCTCGAGGCTGCATTGTGGCTCAAACGCCCGCTTGTTGGTGATAGAGGAAGTCGGTGGTGACGGGTGACGCGACTTTTTGAGAGGGGCGATTTGGAGCAACGCGAAGTCACGTGATTGGGCGGAACACTCTAGAGGATGCGACGAGCTACTTTGAGGAAAAAGCCGTCTGGCAACAATCGTGTCAGAGCTACTAATAACTACATGTACAGACGCATGAAGAAAGAAAAGAATCATATCCAAGCTTGCTCCAACTTTACTTTCCTTCTTATGTACCCCATTTTGGACAATCAGGGTTCATATCGCACAGTGATCACATCATGAGTGACACCTTCATTGGTTAGCACATGAAGAAGTTTGGTAAATGTCACGGAGCATGCGTACCTCCCAGCTTAACGCTGTAAGTAATCTTGGCTGATCCATAACTAGCTTCGATCGCTCCTTCGATGGTGTAGTACCGATGATAGCCCATCCGAGTGATTTGGGCTGTTCGCTTGACGGAACTGGGAATCTTGTTCAGATCCAATGAGAGTGTAGCAACCACTCGGACAGAGCGGTCTACATGTTTGGACGGAGTGGCCTCGTCGCTGCAGAATATCTCAATCTCTGTTTGTGGTTCAAAGCCATGCCCAGTAACCGGAATATCGCATTGGTATTCGATCGTGGAAGGCTTGCCCTCTGGGTATGACTCTCCCTGCAGTCTCGATCGTCAGTCCCTTGGGCTTGCTTCATCATCAGTGACAAGGGTAACATTACCTTTCGAATGAACCATAGCATTTCGGCCACTACCAATTCCTCTTCCTTCTCGGACCAGTACCTATCTCACACGATTAGTAAAGAGGATGAGTTAGGACGGTTGACCTCTACCTACGCCTCTCTCGGATCATGGCGCATCATGTCATATCTGGCTAGGAGGCACGTCCCATATGATCGTCTAGCGACTCTGGATGCAACCTCAACAGGCGCCATCATAGGTCCATACCGAGATAGCCCATGTATAACGGCACCTTTGACCACAGCCACCCAGCCATCCTCAGGTTGGAGCACTTGCGTCCCTGAACCGGTTGCGTCCCGAACCTTGGACTTCAAGTAGCGACTCTGTCCAAACCCTCCCACCAGGACCACTGCGGTAACTCCACCACCTGCCATTGAAATCTGCTCTTTGACCAAGCAAATGATGTCTTTGATAATCGGATCAAATATCTTTGTCTTCATCTCATCTTGGGGCATTGTATACCTGTTTCGCCTTAAGCCAAGACTTGAGTGCATTTTAAGGGTTATAGGCTCCCCTCGTGGAGAGAAGTCCTTTTTGAACTAAACATTCTCATATTTAGCAGGCACAGTTAGCGGAGATAGGGGGATCCTCAGACGCACCGACTCAAACTCGTTTAATGCACTAACCAGCCGTTCATCGCTCCAGTATTTGTCGCTGTGTGTTTGCTTCAGATGTCTCCGGAATCGCTTGTTGAGCATGGAAGAGCCACATCTGCCTCCCGTGCCTTCAGTCACCTCTTTCAGTTCCAGCTTATCCACTCTCGTCACTTCGTATGTGATGAGATCAACGGTTCCTCCACCAGCGTCACACACGACGAATTTTTTGCCAAGTTGCAGGGTCGCTGGGCTCAGATTCTTCAAGGTATAGAGTGCCGCGGCTTCCTACTCCGGGTCAATCCTTGTTGGCCCAAGAATGAATGTACTCGCACTTACTGGCTCAGAGATGAGCTGTATCCTGCTGTTCCCGCAGAATCCTGCCACCGCGGCTGCCCGCTCGGTCGCTTCTTTGGCAGCGTTCGACCAGATTGCAGGAACAGTAACCACGAAATCCATTGGGGTTGAACGGACAACCGCCGAGGAGAGGGTCTTTTCCAGAATACTGATAAAATGTTCATGAAGACATGACAAATAGATTTTTGTCAATTGTTCAGGCGTCTCTCCATCTCCTCTCTCATTCCCGGCATCGTCTAATTTACTGGCCCAGTGTTAGAAATCGGCTCGCCTCCAGTGTGGTGGTGTGAAGCCCTTACAGTTTAAAGAACCGGATTCTTTTAGCAGATTCGGGTATCTCAAACCCCCATTGCCAGCCTGTTGCTACCTTTCTCAGCTCTGTGGGCACCTTGGCACTGCTTTTGAACGAGTTGGTCGATGGCCAGCTAGAAACGACATGCTGGATGTCGGGCTAGTGGTAATAGCAGTCTCTTGTTAGCATGAACCCGTTTTTTTTTGGAAGGGGGATGGATGTCCAAGTCCCTCACCCGGCTGGTCTCTGCCCAAGCAACGCCAGAATATGTGGTGCCAAAATCTATCGAAACAATGATTCTTCTGTCTTTCATAGTGCCGCGAGAAGACGTGGAAACCTCCCGATTCTGGATCGCCATGGATAATGTAGGTATCTCAACAGTAACGGAAATACACCATTCAACACTGGGCTGAGATGGTGCAGACACTTGGTCCTCCTTGGATGCAAACGCAGGCTCCCGTCAGTCCCTCTTTGGGCCCTGAATCAAGCGAATCAAGATCACAACCAGCACTCTGGATTCGCATGTGACCGCCCCATTCAAGTCTCCATCTCAACTGGACAAGTTATATCACATCCTCTCGCTGACAAAAGCACAAAGCCTAGGAGCAGGAATTTGCCCTTCCAATCCCATTTGAAATCACTCACAGGGCGTCTTCCCAGGATGTCTTATCCACTTATTTCGCGTCGGGCCTACATGCAGATGCACAATATGCAGGCGGCCTGCAGTTGGTGGAGTCGCTCCTGATACGGCGTTTACCAGCCAGGCTCCGACCAGCCACCTTATGCATAAGCGCCCATTTCCAACCCAATGATGACGGATGTTCGCCTTATCCTTGCTTTGATAGACAATTGGTGAACTGTTTCCCCATGCAAGGCGCCATCGTCATCTTACCGTATGGCGAGTCAAGTGTGTTTTAATTGACGCCTCGAATTGAGCCGAGCAAGTGGATTCACAAATGACCTTTCCGAATAACTTCACATTTGGGCACAACATTTAAAGGCACAGCATCCTGTCCATGCGTAGAGAAGAACTCATATCCGCGGCGGACATCATGGAGGCGGGGGGCGGCAATGACTCGCAAGATAACGGTGCTCCCGTGGCCGTCAGCAAAGCACCAGCAGAAAATGATCCCTCCCAGGACATTCACGGAGAAATCCAAGCGCTGAAGAAGAAGCTTGAAGACGAAACACGATTACGGAAATACACTGAACAAGTGCTGGACTCGCGGCAACACGAACTCGAAGTTGCGGAGTCAAAACTCGAGGAGCTCAGAGCCCAACTATCAGAAGCGCATGATCAAGTGACGCAGGCGAAGGGACGTTCCAAATCGAAGGAAAAGCAACTTTCAGAAGCAAAGGACCAGATATTCCGTCTCCAACCGCAGCGCAAGGATGTTAATGAGGCTGATGCAATCGAGGCATACAGAACCTTATGCGCCAACGTCCACCGATGGGTTGAAAACCGCATGAAGGGCATACTGGACGAACTGGATGCCGGCCGGTTACGGGCCCGCCCGGCTCCTCCTCAAGCCGTTCGTTTTGTTTCTATGATGAGGGAGACTGCGAAACGCGGCTTGGCCCTGGATCAGTCGGATGTGTATCACGTCGTTGCAATCATTATGAATTATCTCTGCCTGGTTTTCTTCTCCAAGTCATTCTACTGCCCACTGGATGAATACGAAGGAGACGCCACTCTCACCTTCATTGACGAGCTTGAAGCGTCCATGTCCCGTCTTCCTCGAGGTAATGAGGGCTTCCTCTTCGGTGGTACATAGCATTCTAGTCACTGACAGCTCGTATCTTAGATCCAGCACATTGTCGAGAATGGAGAAGCGAAACATTGGCAGCTATGACAAGCCAGAAATCCTTCAAAACTCGAAGAGTTCGGTTTATTGTGCTAGTAACAGAAGATCTAGCCACTCTCCTATCCGCCATCGCCCCGAAAGTACCCACCGCGGAACTCCAAAGCTCAATACGCAGATCTATTGTCGAACCAGCCGCCGACCTTGCTCATGATCTTCACGTCGCTTCCAGTATCTACTCGCTGAAGTGGCCCGCCCGAGGAGCTTGGTCGAGATTAGAGGTCTACGAATGTCTTGACCTAGCGAACGGAGGCGAGGCGCTTAATCTAAGTGGTACGGCGCCTTCATCTTCGGTACGACGTAATGTCGCGTACCTATTCGATGTGTCCCCGGGGCTATTTGTGGAGAGGGTAGTGTCGGGGAAGAAATCCCCCCTCAAAGCAATATGCCGGCCCAGTGTTCTGGTCTTCAGTGGAGGCGGGGGAGTGCAGCAGAGTCCAACCGTCATGAATTGGTTGTGGGAGTCAGCTGTCTCACTCCCTAGTCCCGGTCGGGAGGGCCCTCAGAGATCAGCGACGCCAGCGCCACTCAGGAGTACGTTTGTTCCCCCCTTCCATGCCATCGTGTTGATCTAACTTGGCACCGCAGAATCTACCGGAAGTAATCAGCCGTCAAGGAGGCGATGAGGCCAGGTACTTTCGTACACTGGTTGGGGGGGTGTGGTAGTAGCCGTCCGTTCGTTGTTAGGGCCAAGTGAGCCAAGATGGAAAACAATTTGTTCACTGCTCACCAGTAGCTAATGTAATTTTCGCCAAAGAATACTAGGTATTGTAAACATACAAATCAATCAAACAATCAAACAAACCAAACAATCTCTATATCGCTTCTCAAATCGACCGGCAAGAAAAATGATACTCTTCAACGACAATGATAGGGGCATCGCGATACCGCGGGACAGGTCGTGGCGGAAGTGGTGGAACGGGTCGAGGTGGTAGGGGAGGCGGAGGCGGAGGCGGAGGCGGATGTTGCTGTGAGGTCGCACCAGGTCTCCTAGGGACGGTCTGGCTCCGAGGTCTGCTCGTCGTCGTTTGTTGGGGAGTCTGATTGTCAGGTCTTTTGGGTGCTCGGCCTGGGCGTGCTGGAGATTTCTCACCAGTCCTAGGGGAAGCATTTCGCTTCAAGCCGCGAGCTACCTGCTTTCCTTTTTCTGCGGTTGCGCCTCCGGGGGCTCTCTGAGACCTTGTGGGCGCCGGGATAAAGGGCCGGATGCAATTGCTGATATAGTCGTCTTCCATCCCGAGGGCTCTGGCGTCGGTGAGTCCAAAGTTGATGCGGTTGATGTATTCCTCCTTGGGCGGGCTATCGGTGGTGAAGTTCAGACTGATGTAGACAAGGACCTCCTGAGTCCAGTGCTGGGGCTGTTCCGGCTGCTTCGGTGCGGCCTCCCTCGCCTGACGAAGTATCTTGGACGGGCCTCCTCTATCAACTATCCATGATGTTGGACGACGGTACAGATTACCTGGTGCCCTGAACAGCTGGGCTCTCATGGTCTTTTTGGCATATGCGTTTTTGGACACGCCCTCATTGATGTCCAGCTTGGCCTCGTCGGCAGCGTCAATCTCATAAACCAGACCGTCCACCCAAAATCCGTCGGTCTTGACAACGTTGGCATAGCCACGCTCATTGATCTGCCAGCGGTAGTTGACCAGCCGGGCTCTTCCAATGTATCTGCTATGAGGGCATCTCCGCTTCATCTGCTTGAGGTGCAAATTGCTACCATAGGCGAAGTAGAAGGTGGCTGGCTGCTTGGGAGCCGGCTGCTTGCCGTTCCCGCCGGAGGGAGATGCCATTGGCAGAAGAATAGGGGGTTGGTGTAGGGTAGGCCTCTAGGGCCGGGGGCAGGGGCGATCTTGATTGATGAGTGTGCTCCGGAAGCAAGTAAGCCCGAATGCCCGATGATGGAGGGTGGAGGGTAGATGCAGCTACTAGGTCAATCGAGTCTTGCTACTTTTGTTTGCCTAGGTTTGAAAAGAAGAAAATAGTGCAGCCAGAAGAATTCTTTGAGTGAGAATGCAATGCGAGGAAGTCGGGGGCTGCGTCTAAGTGCCCGGGTGGAGCCAGTCCCCTGCATATGGCTGCGTCCAGCCTCCAGGCTTCCCAGAACCATTGGGCAGCAAACAGCCTCATCACACCGGGGCCAGCGCCAATGGCCTTGCACCACGTTCAGCATGCTGGCTTTGTCAAGGAGATCTGATTGATCACAAGGAGCGGTGGGCATCCGCAGCGTTGTGAAACTAAAACCCCCGGGCGGGATAGGCCACGACGGGCCGCTTGCCTGCCAACGCAACTGGTTGGGCTCCGCCTGGTCATGGGAGTTGGGTCATGATTCCCCTCTTCCCGCATCCTCTACCGCCTTTAGCCTGGGGCTGTGGATGAGCTTGTTGTCTAGGTCTAGGTTGGGAATGGCCAAGCAATAACAACAATCAGGGCACCAGGGCAGAGTGGGTTAGGTTATTAGGCTCACGGACCTCAGTGGCCGCCTCACATTTCCTCTGGAAGGGGATTTACTAAGACCTGAGACGAGCCTGAGAGAAATTCGAAAAACGTGAGTATCAGATCATGTGCTCTGGCTGTTCGCTAGACAAAAGACGTGTCCGCAATCTGAGAGATGACAGGGAGAGAGCCCTGATCGTCCGTGACAAACATCGCAACGGCCAAGTCAAGGAGCCATTCCTCGTTCCAAGTCGTCCCTAGTCGGTTTTTGGGCAGAGAAAGGGACAGTATCGTCTGCTTTCTTCCGTCCCAGCCGGCATATATATCCTTCTTGTTTCTTGAGCTCTGATCGCGTCTTTTGTCTCAGCATAGTCAGATTCGATTGATTCATTAACAGCAACCATGGTCAGACACTACAATTTCGGTGTTGAGATTGAGGCTGTGGCCAAGCCATACGGCGGAGGGGAGTCATTCACAAATGTTGACTGGTACCGACAGTTGGCCCAGAAGCTGCGGAACAGGGGCATTGAGGCTGTCCATGACGATAATTCCAAGTACAGCAAGCACCCAGAGTACTATGGTGGCAAATGGTTCGTGACCAGGGATGGGTCATTGAAGCGTCCTCGACCTTTTGGTTTGTCTAGCACCATACTCCCCCCCCCCAAATTTACATACGCTTACTCTGAGTTGTCAAACAGTCTGCATGGAGGTCGTTTCTCCCAAGCTCAACACGACCATGCATATCACTAGTATGCTCTCTGACTTCTGGGAGGCCATGCGGGTGCACTTCAATCCGCAGCGCGACATCTCTTGCGGCGGCCATGTGCATGTCACTCCTATGAGTCTGAACAACAAGTTCTCTCTCCGCTCCCTCAAGAAAATCGCGTTTGCCACTGTAGTTTACGAAGACTTCGTTGCGACCATGTTGCCCCAGGCGCGGAGAGAAAACAAATACTGCCAAGCCAACAGTCAAAGCATAGACTCTGGTCTGCATGAGACCCTCCTCTGGGGCAAAAACCCGAACACTCTATATCGCGTGGCTGCCGAGATCAAAGCGTGCGCC